GGTTGTCAGTTCCCAACTTATAACTCAGTTCCTTGGCGACTCCGCATACAACCGAGAACGCATTAATTTGGTGACAGCCACCGGTCAGCGCATAGCGGTCCGTGGAGAGAAAGAGATGGAGTTGAAGCTAGGCAACATGATCTACCTGCATAATGTCATCGTGGCTGATATAATGGACGACTGTATCCTGGGCCGTTGGCGTTACCAGGGAATGTGTACAGCCTTAAGAAGATTGTTCTTCCTCCGAGATCGGAAGCGATTGTGCCGGTTAGTCTTCCTCCGAACCCTTGGCAAGCTCATCGTTTTGTACTCGTGGAAAGGGTATACAATGACCTTCCATGGAAAGTGGCTCGAACCTTGGTCAGAATCACCGACATCTCAGGAGTGAACCTTTGTGATCAGGAACAGATTATAGAAAAAGGCACACTGGTTGGTACTAGTGAGGAAGTGGATTGGTTGCGTCGGTGCCAATATCTATCGACTGGGACCCCCAGCAAGGATGCAAAGACGAGAGTGACCACACATTTAGAAGACTGTCACAGCGTTCTCTTCCCGAATGAAATGGTCAAGGCGAAGAAGTTGTAACTCAAGTACGCCAATGTTTTCTCGTCAAACGATGCTGACATAGGAAAGACCGGCTTAGTTCAACACAAAATAAACACAGGAGAAGAATTGCCCATTCGTCAGTGGCCAAGAAGATTGCCGGTAGCACGTGAAAAGGATGCGGAAACCATGATTGAGGGAATGGTGAAGGATGGTGTTATTGAACCATCATCTAGTCCATGGTGTTCACCTGTGGTGCTGGTAAAGAAGAAGGACGGCAGCATGCAGTTTTGTGTTGACTACCATCGTCTGAACGACGTTACGAAGAAGGACAGTTATCCCTTGCCAAGAATCGATGACACGCTGGACATGCTTACAGGCGTAAAGTGGTTTAGTACGCTGGACCTGAAAAGTGGCTACTGGCAGGTTGAAACTGACCCTAAGGACAAGGAGAAAACTGCATTCTCCACAGGAAAGGGTCTGTGGCAATTTAAAGTCATGCCGTTTGGATTGTGCAACCAGCAATGTTTGAAAGGTTGATGGAGCTTGTACTTACCGGGCTAATTGGCGATGCCTGTCTGGTCTACTTGGATGACATCAATATCGTAGGCCGTACGTTTGAGGAACAACTTGAAAACCTGGAACACGTGCTCATTAAGATCCAGAGTGTCAACCTCAAGTTGAAGAAGAAATGCTCACTATTCAAACGGAAAGTTAGTTTTTTGGGGTATGTAGTGTCGGAAGAACGTATCCGCAAGGATCCAGAGAAAATTGCCGCTATCAAGGAACTATTGTGTCACAAGAGGGGAATTGCTTGCTGTGGTAAAGTCCTTGTAGCATTTTAGCAAATATCTTCTGGGGCGGAAATTTCACTTACGAACTGACCATGCTGCACTGAAATGGCTATTGCAGTTCAAAAATCCGGAAGGACAAGTTGCGAGATGGATTGAACTACTGCAGAAATAGAACTTTGTGATCGAACATCGCAGCCGGAAATCTCATGGCAATGCAGATGCATTGTCAAGAAGACCTTGCCCTGAAGATTGCAAGTATTGTACTAGGCAAGAGGGTAAGGAAGTGGTATCTGTTAGGATGCTTAGGACAGACTCAGCAATGAGTGGAAGGATAGCCTACAAATGCACAGCAGGAAGATTCGGACATCAAGCCGATTCTGGAATGGATGAAGGCCAGTGCTCCTAAGCCCAAGTGGAGAGACGTCTCAGCGATGAGTTCAACCACGAGAAGCTATTGGGCCCAATGGGACAGCTTGCTGATTCAGGATGGAGTCCTGTGTCGTAAATGGGAAAATGGTCGGGCAGATAGTTGTCATTTGCAAATGGTTGTCCCTAAGGCCAAAGTACCGATGCTCTACAGCCGTATCTTAATGGTTGTTGAGGAGGCCACCTGGGAGTTAGACGAACTCTACTGAAGATTCGAGAACGGTTTTACTGGGTCCACTGTCGTGATGATGTCAAGGACTGGTGCCGCAAATGTACATGTTGTGCGGCTGTAAAGGGAACTCAAACTCGTAGTAGAGGCGCATTAAAATTGTACGATGTTGGTACACCATGGGAGAGGATAGCCATTGACGTTGCGGGACCGTTTCCGGAAAATGAAAGTATGTAGTAACAAGTATTTCATGGTTGTGATGGATTACTTCACTAAGTGGCCAGAAGTCTTCGCCATTCCAAATCGAGAAGCTTCAACAGTTGCAGATAAACTAGTTCATGAAGTCTTCTGTCGTTTTGGAGTACCTTTAGAGATTCACAGCGATCAAGGAAGGAATTTTGAGTCTCAAATATTACAGGAAACTTGTCGAGTTATGGGTATTCATAAAGCAAGAACAACTTCTTACCACCCACAATCTAATGGAATGGTAGGACGATTTAATCAGACATTGGAGAGATACCTAGCAAAAGTTGTGGAAAAACGGCAACGAGACTAGGACAGGTACATACAACCGTTTTTGTTGTCATATCGAAGCGTTGTTCATGAAAGTACATCAGTGAAATCAACTATCGCAAACTTTGGGAGAGAATTACGTCTGCCTGCAGACCTCATCACCGGAATATCACCCGATGCCCCACGCAGTATATCCGATTATGCAAATAACTTGCGGAACTAAATGAATGACATTTGACGGCTCCGTGGCGTAGTGGCTTTGCAATGAGTTGCTACGCTGAGGGCCGCGGGTTTGAATCCCGCACGGAACAAGTATTTGTATGGCCTACAAATAACTGTTCCGGGTCTGGATGTTTGTCCTTGGGCAATATGTGTTTGTAAAGTGCCTCCACGATACAGGAGAAAATCCTAGTGTGGGGGTAACGTTTTATATAAAATAAAAATAAAATAAACATTTATGAGCACGTCAGACAGTCGGGCCAGCAAACGTCTGAGAAGATGAAAACACGGTATGACCGCAAAATGAACAACAAAGGGTTTGACGATGGTTCACTAGTGTGGTTACACAATCCAGTTCGCAGCAAAGGGAAATCTTCTAAGCTTTAAGCTAAATGGGATGGACAAGGATCAATGACGTAACCTACCGGCTACCGGATACAGAAAGGTGCCAGAGGTACTCCTAAGATCGTCCATGTGGATCAACTGGCGCGCTATTATGGGGCCAATAATGCTCGGGACGAGCATGTCTTAGGCAGTGCTGCGCGCCACTATTAATGTCTTGTACATGGCAACACTAGTTACCACTAGCGCCCTCTAGTATCGAGTAGTAGAACTGGCAGAGTCTAGATCCTTCTAGAAATTTCGGGACCGATATGTACTCGAACATTCTAGATGTTACTACAGTAGAAGGTTCTGGAAACTATTTGAGGCCCTATATAAGGCCGGTATAGACCACGACAGGATCAGTATTGAATTGGCGATATAAGCGAATACTTCCAAGCGATATAACTGCGAACTAAAGTGATCGGTAGTACAATTGTGTTTTTTTTTATTGGTAGGATTTTAAGCTGTAATTAGTGTTCTGTAATTATAGTGTCAATTTTGGTGATTCAGTCTGCAGTTTTTAATTGTGTCGAACCCCAAGCTCGTAACAATACTATTTGGCAATCATCAATTTGAGTTTGAAGAGTTCTGGAGGGAACTTGACCGGCGGCGGTTCTGTATTATCAATTAAATAATGGTTTGAAGTGGATTATGATATGTAAAAGTAGTGCGATTTTGTGTACTAAGTGTCTGCGCATGTGAACTATTAGTGGAAACGATGAAAAAAGTGCTCTGATGGTGATGTGATTCTCAAGATTAGGTCTGTCTGCTTAGGCGCCTTAAGATACCATCGCCAACTGTCAGCTGTCTGCTGGCTCAAGTTGCCATCAAAATCTCCCAAGGGCTGCACAATGTGACGCATCAACATATTGTGAAGTAGTGTATTATGAAGGATAATTATACATTGTAACTTCAGGATCAGAAAGATTACAACCCAGAGCCGTAAAGCAAGTTATTAAAAAAATGAGTTTGACAAAATTAGGGATGCAACATCGTTCTTAAAAACATTGATATTTGAAAACATCGATGGTCCCACAACAAAAATCGATGTTAGAAAACATCGGAAACAAAAACTATATATCGATGTTTTAATAATCTCATCCACGACACAAATTGTTAGCTATATCTATGACTATATGACTTAAACAATAAAATATACCAGTCTAATCAGTTTAACTCAAAACCTTAGCTTACTACTAATTAACTTTGTGGTATACAAAACAATAAAATTGATCTTAACAGTTTCCCTGGCCGTGTAATAGACACAATGGTTAAACAATTGAAATGTTCATATATGATTTATGGTACAGGGAAAGGGTTAAATATAAAACACATTCTGTCTATTGAACAGATGAATTTTATTTGAACGTAACAATTTTGAAATGGAATTAAGGAAAAGGCTTAATATACCTACATAAAAGAACTCAATTAACATATTATTTATAAAAAGGTAATTTTAGTATGTAGCTATAATTGCGATGTACCTAAACGTAGCAAAGTATACCATAATGTACCTAAATATACCACATATATATAACATTTATTTGTTCGAATGTAACAATTTAGAAATGGAGTTTAGGAAAAGAAGCTTGGATAATGTAATCTCCAAAAGCCTATTTCTGTCCTGAGTGATGGTTGAGCCAACCTCCGAGAATGTGTCGTCAGTCGGCAGAGCACGAACTCAATGTATGAACGATGTCGATGTTTAATACTTTTGCCATCGATGTATATACGTAACATCGATGTATTGATAAAGGATATTTGCAAACATCGATGTATCGCTTACATCCCTATGATGACAATTTGTTGTGTTTTTCCAAGCATAGAATAGGTTCTGACAATTTTGTTATGTTAAGTACAGCGATTACATTAAATACAATTTTTGACTGAAAGTTTAAATTTTCAGGCATATATGTCATGATCTTGCACATTTTGATTCATCTTTGTTAAACATGATAGATAAAAATGAGGACTTCCAAGAACAAACCAAAAGGTTACGTTTTAAGACTAATGTTCAGCATAGTTCTGGTGATATTAGTTTAGATTCAAAATTAGTAAAGGGCACAAGACATAAAGGTGCAGATTAACTGGCATGTTAATAGCGTTGCAAGTTTTTATAAACGTGAATAATTTCTTTATAATTAAGAATTGCTTTCAGATGTTACTGACAAGTCTGCGTCATTGTTTACATTTTTACACGTTGAATTAACGCGAGGATATCTTTTAGAACACGATGAGGAAAGATTTTCGGCAAGAAGAGAAAAAGTGTACTCTTTTATTAAAATTCCACAGGAATTAGAGAAGTTTATGGCTTATGGCTTTTTTCAATGTGCAGACTCTTTGCTGTTTGTTTATACTTTTTTACCTCTACGTTTTATAATGGCATTTTGGTCCTTCTTCAATAGGTTATTTAAAAGATGCTTTGGGTGAGTATTGTTATTGAAGGTATATTATTCTTAATTAGTTAACATTAACACGGTTTTATCTTTTTAGGTTCCATTCACATTCACGCAAAAGTATACTAAAACCAGCGGAGACATGTGATGTTCTCAAAGGTTTAATCCTTTTGATTTGTAGCATATTAATGTGTTATATTGATACAAACATGATGTACCATTTAGTTAAAAGTCAGAGTGTTATGAAATTGTATATTTTTTATAATATGTTGGAAGTTGGAGACCGCTTATTCTCAGCTTTTGGTCAAGACACAATTGATGCTTTATTTTGGACAGCCACAGAACCCAGAGATCGAAGGCGTGAACACCTTGGTGTCATTCCGCATTTGATATTTGCAGTAACCTATGTGTGTATCCTTTTAAATCTTAAATTACTTTTTAATAAAGTAACAGAGAAAGTTAAAAATGTTATTTTACTATATTTGTGTTTTGAAGCAGCTGCAAAAGGAGGAGGTTAGGAACTTAGGTTTAGGTTGTATTTTTTTTTAATGTAGGCAATATGGATATCCTTGAAGTCATATTAACTTATGGAGCATATTTCTATTTCAGTATCATATATTATGAGAAGAAGTGCTATTTTGTAACTCTCACAATCATGGTTGACTTAATTTTGATAATTAGTGCTAATTGATGGATTTTGAGGTAAGCACTCAATGATGTGGGCATTGACATGATTAAATGATTTCCATAGAGTTTGACAGTAGATCTGATGACTATTTAGGTCTATTATGATTTTTTTACATTTTCATCCTATTGGCCATATAAAATTATCTGTACAAATGTTTAAATTGAAGTGACTGTCTGTAATATTGAATTAACTGCCTTACTACCTTCTATTAAGCTCAGGGGGTTATTACCATGTTGTTTTGACAGGGATAACTATTTTAAAATTTTACCTGCTTGTCTGTCTGTACAGGCTAATCTAAGGAAATAAAAAACAGCAGAATTAACCCAATTTCAATCAATCCTCTGCAAATATTTAAAACAAAATCCCTCCTACTCAGTGGAGGAGTATTTAGTTAACAAAAAGTAACGAGTGCAAGCGAGTAATACAATAGATGTTTATTTAGGTATATTACATAATAACTGGTGATTGCTAATAACATGAAAAGTAAAAGTGGTTCATTCAATGATTAAAATAAAAATCCTTAACCTCAGATAGGTAGACGTAGACCAATAACCTTAAAAATGCAAGAGCATTAAGTGCTGATTATATAATAATTGCTTATCCAAACAATAAGGTGGTAATTTGTATTATGGTAACTCAACCGTTTGTGGTGGTGCCTAAGTTTTTTAATTTGTACTCAACTTTACAAATGATATCCACATAATGTTTGTAACTTCAAGTAATAATCCACTAAATAAAACATAGCGGAGTTGTGGTAGTGCAGGGGCTCAGCGCTCTCTTTAAATTTCACAGTATGTGAGCAATCACGGTTCGATCCTTGCTGGCTTCAATCAAATTGTTAATTGAAATTTAAAGTGCTGATTTACCACGTGCTGGGTGGTGAAGGTAAACATTGTGGGAAAACCTGCATGTTTGAGAAATAAGAAGCAAATATTTCGAAGACATGTAAAATTCCCCAACATGAATTGGGGCAGCGCGGAGGACATTTCCTTGCCTATAACCCTATTAGAAATGAAAGGAAGCCTGTGTCCAGCAGTGGAACGTATATCGGCGGTAACTTTAACTTTTTAAGTAAGAAACTATATTGTGATAAAATTCCTTACCACAACTTTACAGTCCTACACAGTTTATTGGTATTATTCCAAGCTACAACGCTGAATGTTGCATTTAACTCCAATAACAAGAGTCTTCTCATCATTATGATGTCAAATAATGTAAGTATTATTGGTTTTAATTATTTATTCTTGAAATAATATTTTATTCTAAGAGTGAATACATTGGGACAGCTAGAATTTTTTAAAGATGAGTAGATCAACATTGCAAAGTTAATTAAAATATAGTTTATATTACATATCATAATCATATGAGACTGAAATTTTAGTTATGCAACAGCGTAATTTGGATATGAATACTTTTTGATTAATGGTTGAATTTTTATATATCTTTTAAATATTAATTTCTATATGTTTACTGTAGAACATTCCTGTGGACGAGAAGTTGACATCTTTTTTTTGTACATGCAAATGGAAATGCCTACGCATACCCGCTTCGCGGAGGCAAGGACGGGTTATGTCGGACTCGCACCAACTTAAACCCCTTAGTGTTTCACATTCGCCGCATATTGGCAGGGCCACGAAGGCTTTGGCACACATCCGCAGCCCCACCGACGCCAGCCGCCCCTTCTTCCCATTACTCTCCGCCCCATGCATGGCAGGACTTCTCTTCCTCCTTTTACTTCTCAGGTAAAGTGTACCTTCCTCCGCGGCCTCTAACTCTTTTTGCGTTACGGACTTCAACGAGTTCGATATGCGGAGGACATGGGGCCAGGAAAAACGAGCACTCGGAAGCACTATCCTGACCCCAGCGGCGGATCTTGTATCTGGCTCCGCAGCTAACGAAGTTTCGGCCGCGGAGGGTAGGGAGAGGTGTGCCTCGCAATACCGACACTCCTCTTCCTCCGCGGCCCCTCCACCACAGCATCAACGGTACGGCCCACCAGAGTCGCAGAGGATAAGGCGAGTGGCACATTGCCATACCAATACATCTTCTCACGCGATTCCACCTCGGCTGAAGCGGTATCCCTTTCGCCGCAGCCCACCAATACATATCTAAAGTAGCCTCGCCAAACCCACTCGGAGTGGCCACCTCGGGCTTCTACTTTGACTCCAATCTTGACTTTTTCCAATCAGCTATTTCCATCGTGGACCTGCTGTATGGTCTTTTTTCTCCTTGTAATGTGGATCTATCATTTTAGGATGTTTTTGTAAATTTAATCTTCAGTTTTAGCAACTAAATATTTCCGGTATTTTATTCATTGATTTAAAAAGTTAAGATACATTCGCCTGACGTGTTTTTCGTATTAGAAAAACTAGCGCCATCTATTAGAAGATAACTAATTTGAAGTACGATGTGTTGGGACGTGATCGATGTAGTTTATAGGTTCGTCTTTGCCGAACGTTAAGATATTTCGAAAATAAAATTATTCTAAAATGTAAGGAAATTGGAGTAATAACTTATATACAGCTCCGTGGCACAATGGCTTAGCAATGAGTTTGAATCCCGCACGGAACAAGCATTTGTATGGCCTACAAATAATTGTCCTTGTGAAATTTATGTATGTAAACTGCCTCCACGCTACAGGAGAATATCCCATTGTTTTAAAAAAATAACATATAATACGGTACCGGGTAAGTCAAATACAGACATACTAAATAGGGTAATTGATATTATTTTTTACGGTGCTTTCGGTCGTAGTTCGCGCAACCCTTCACGACAACTTGGTAATGATTTTATTTTAGAGGCGCCATTTTAACGCAGTACTTACGCAGTAATATAGATGGCAATTAAATTTATTTCTAATGATGTCCAGTCTCGTAACTCTACCTGCAGTGTAGCATTTGCTGCCCCGTGGTATGTAGTTTTTGTTCACCCAGTTTTCTAAGTCCATTGTGATAATGTTTTGTAGGTCATCTGTTGTGCCAGCTCTAGGTGACACAATAGATCTGAGAGAATATTTGGATTTCATTAATTCAATTCAAGCTCTCATACCTCAGAAGAAGAATACTCAAAACAAGTACCCGGCACTGTCTGTTGATTTCGGAGCTCTAGTACCGGGTATCTAAATCAAAGAAAAACAAATCAGTGGGTTTCAACATTGTTCTTGTGTTATATCAACAATTTGATTTTTTCGGAAGAACGAATTCATTTCAAAAAATTCTGCGACGAGCTGAATCACATTACAAACAAATATTTACAGTCATTTACCTGCTGTAATAAATAAAATTAGGTTTTGTATTTATTATTTTTCTTTATTTTTTTATTTTTTTGAATTCTTTACAGTTTGTGGAACTAAAAGGCAGCGTTTTCAAAAAATTTGATAAGAACAACCTGTTTCAAGTATCTTGTAGTGATGTGAGAGAAAGATTACATCTTTCAGTCTTACTCTGCATAGTTGTACTGCAAACTATGAAAGAGTATCTTTGGAGGGAAGACCGTTTTTGGATATTAGCTCCCGATTGTGTACTAGTCCTTACATTTGAAGTCATTATTGACTGGGTGAAGCATGCATTTATAACTAGGTTTGTATTTTTGCATCCTTTTCTCTTTGCATTATAATAATATTTTTAAATTATAACACCGTTTTTAAATATTCACTATTAAAATTTTCGACTTACATTTTAAATGTTACCATAAAAATTTCTCATCTTTTTAATAGGTTTAATGAAATTCCGTATGGAGTCTACAGGGAATATACAGTAAGCCTGGCATATGATGTTGCACAAACCAGACAAAAATATGCTTTCAGCGACCATTCCGATTTAGTGGCTCGAAGAATGGGATTCATACCTTTACCATTGGGAGTTGTTATTACTAGAGTCCTGGTTCACGCCGTCAAAATCGATGGGTGCGTATTTAAAGTTTAAACATAATGATTGTGTCACTAAATGGTATAACATGGCATCCATACATAGTCCACTTCTCCCTCGCCATGGTTACAGACACAATTCTGTGGCCCTGTTGCAACGTCAAAACATTTGTAAATTCTTAATCAATAATAGAAATAAAATAATAATAACATAATACACTTTTGTGGGTAAAGTGTTGATTAGCACGGGCCGTTCTTTGAGTAAATATTAAATCACTTAACGTCAACGTAAAACGCCAAAAATTCTATATAAAAAAAAAACATTTCAGTCGATATTAAGACATTACGCTAGTTGATCTCGGTGACCGAGCAGCTGGATGCTTTAACCGTCAGTGTAACAGAAACTTCTTTTATTCAATATAGATTATAAATAATACTTATTGAAAATCACTCTTTTGTTTAATTACCACTGGTTCGAAAAATAAACCTCTGTCCTGGGAAGAACCAGCAAGAAACCCAGCGGGACTCTTTTGTGACTTGAATCCGTGAATGACTGCGGGCTTCTTTGTGGCTTCAGTACTAGTAGCCATGCTGCAAGCCGCAATTGTGTTAGATACGTTACTCGATAGATGATGTGATTGTTGATAAAAAGATTGTTGTTTATTAATATCTAGGTATGTGTATCTAACGAATAATGTTTGCCTGTAAATTTTACACCCACTCATTTTAGACTGATTAGCGTAAAGTCACTTTCGGAAACAACCGTAGCAAGCTTTATACTGGAGCAGTAACTTAAGTCTTTGATCAACAGACGTACTCTAAGGCCCGTATTAATAAACGTTACTCAGCTTAAGTACACGCACTTGAGTACAATCTTGATGTTATGATCTTATTACAAAGTGGTAGAGCCACGCGGCAGCTTTTGCTGCCGCACGGATAGACCGGCTCGAACCGGGGTGGTACCACGACCTCACAGAAAACCAGCGTGAAGTAGAGGTTTACTTCTGCGTTTCGCTTGATGAGTGCAGGTGGCCGGAGGCCCTTTTTACTGGAAATGAGGCATTCCATCTTGGTCCTCACGGGTGACAACGCATCTACATTTTGATTTGTAATAGAGGATAGATGTAGATGTCTATGGGTCGCAGCAACCACTTGCCATCAGGTGGACTGTGTGCTCGTTTGTCACCCTTATCATATAAAAAAAAATAAACATCTCAAGATGCGGTTTAGGTTTACGATATCAGCTGAGTGCCATACTGAGCACGTTAGTTGCCAAAGATAATTTAGAAAAATTTCAAAAAAACGTCACCCACTTTTTATTATATTACGTTGAGTTAAGGTATAATTATAAGCCTACGGTGTTATTACATAGTGTTAGCTTGTATATAAAGCTTATATACTACGGACGGACACATTAGTCCGACGTGGCCTGAACGGAATAATTATTTCATTTGCGCCACGCGGGTCACTCTGTCGGACAACAAAAATTTTCGAAATATCACAAATAAAAGTGATGTTCAAAAAAGAAAACCAAGGATAATTCTGGACTATATAAAGAAGCGAAATAGGCAGTGGATTTGTCGGACCAGATGTCTGCATACTCGACTCTGCTTAGGAAGACAGTGAAATGGTATGTTCTTCTCTTCTTTCGATTCTTTCTTCGATCTTTAATTATTTTTTCGATTTATAATTATTTTTAGTGTCTAAAGTTAATACCCATTTAAAAAAAAAAAAACCATTGAAAATTGACCTCTTATTCAAATAAACAAATGATTAGATAGGTAAGTGATGTTTTTATTTTGCAAATATTTTTATTTTTCGTCTCTAGCATTCCAAATATTCAAAAAAATTAGGGTGACACATTATTTTAATACTCTACAGGGCCGCGCGGGTCACTTAGTATGCGCAAATCTAATGAAAAAGTGGCCGCTGGCCTGTAAACGTAAGTCAAAGGAAGGTGTGCCCTGTCGATCACCATTGTCCGACACGGCCTGAATGAAACATTTACTGGCGGTAACCACTTTCCGACATGGCGACCAACGTGTTAATAAACGAAACTCGACTCTCAAGTGTGTGTACTTGAGTGCAAGTCATAAAACAGTATTCCTAAGTACAGCGTTTTGAGATACTGTTTTTAGGTGTTTATTAATTAGCAACGATCTTGAGATGCTGATATCGTAATGAGGGCGTATCAAATGATTACGCACTTGAGTTCGTCGTTAGGTAACGTTTATTAATACGGGCCATAGACTGAGGACATACATAAAGCCGATGCTTAGCACTACATTTCAAATACGTAAAGACGAATCTTTTCCAATACTATTCAGAGATAACATCCTCAACATGCGACACGTCGATTTTTAGGGTTTCCTACCCGAAGGGTAACCAATGGGAACCTCATTACTAAGCCTCTGCTGTCCGTCCGTCTGTCTGTTAGCGGGCTGTATTTCATGGTCCGTAATAAGTAGACAGTTGAAATTTTCACAGAATATGTATATCTGTTGCCGTAATAACAACAAATAATAAAAAAAAAATTAAAGAAGGCTAGGGGGCACTAGAAACGTGTTTTACGATGTCCGTACCTTTCATGCGCGAGTCCAGCTCGTACTTGGCCGGTTTTTTTGCCAAATACCAACCTGACCTATTACTACAGAATAAATAATATGCTGTTACTAGTTAATACTAACAAACGATGAAATTACGATCGACAAACGATGGTATATCCATGCGAAAGCTAAATAAAACCCACGGATTGCTAATGGGGAACAGCTGCTAGTGTGGTATCGACTATGTGCTCACCAAACTATCTGCTTGTGTAGTAGACGGTTTGCTGAGTAAGAAAGTGTGAGTAAAGCTTTTAAAAAATCTTTAAGTCACACACGCTAGATGGCGCATTCTTTTTAAGTTTAAAAGAAGGATGATAAAGAATAACAAGAAATAAATTAAATCTGTTTGCTTGTTTCCAGATTTGCGGCAATGTTCTTAATATTTATAGCGTATCTATGCTTGATATCACTAAGAGTGCTTATATCTATTGTGATACTTGGAAAAGCCTGTGATTTGATTTCCCAACATCAAATGGATAGGAATGAGATCTTCCAGACGACACCAAAAAGGTACATTGATTGTAAACGTTTGTAAACGGTAGCTAAGAAGTTAACCCGTACCTAGCTGTGGGACTTTACCAGCTTTGGGAGAAGTTTCCAGAATGATTATTAATTGTGTACCTAAAGTTATTTCATGCATTCTACACCAACAATTACTAGTTTTATTTAATAGAATAAGGGTGACCAACGAGCTCGCAGTCCACCTAATGGTAAGTGGATGCTGCAGCAAATAGACATGTACACTAAACTTATAGGCCTGAACATAGGCCTCCCCCAAGGAATGCCACAAAACACGGTCCCGAGCCACCTGCATCCATTATTATTATTCCATCCATTATTACACTCCTTGGGGGAGCCCTATGTTCAGCAGTGGACTTGTGAAAGGCTGTGATGATGATGATGATTACTACACCTATCTTTGATTAAAACTCAAAATGCTGATGAATTGTCACCCCCCTGAGGATTAAGGCGAATTGTTTCGTTACTATGGTTCTTGTCACTGCTGCTTATGTTATTATGTTCCTTCTATTTTATGGTAATCTATGTGAGTGTCTAGTCCATTCATCATGCAGCGTGATTCTACAACGCAAAATTAAAGAAGAACTTTTATAATTTTTTATTAATATTTTCTTTACAGAGAACGAAAAGATTCCGTTAAAGAAATTCCTTACGCACACAAAACTCCGGAAGTAGAAGTCGCACCAGTGAAGAAGCCAGTTCAATTAAAGTTCCAAATTCCAGAAGATGTGGTTATTGTATGAATTTTACTATATTTTATTATTTATGCGAGTTGCTTGATATTTACGATGTGAGTTAAATGAGGTCAGTTTAAACATAAGTTCGTTCAAAAAGTTGTTCAATAATACTAAACTTCTTAATCAACACTCCTTAACAAAAAAAAATATCATAATTCTTTTTTAAAATAATCATTTTTTTTTCAGTATATACCAAGTTCTATATATATTTCCTCCGCAATCGCAACCTTCGTCGTGGCCATCTTGTTGATTACGGGCTATGGGGTACCAAAGGAAATTAATATTTCACGTATCGTTTGTGGGTGCCATAAAAGTAGATAAATAGTGTCGGGGAAGTGTTGCAAATTTACCAAACATACCCTTTAGACTGTTAAGGTTCAGCAACGCTTTTGATTTTGATTTCGAAATTGTGTACTTATTTGGATTGATTTACTGATTTGGTGTTACAGAGTGAACCTTTAGTGGACGCGTCAGCGGGAGCGGCCGCGATATTCTCGAACAGTGCAATCGATTTGAATGGCGTGTGTTACCTCAACGGTAAAATGAACGTACAGGTCAAGCAGGAAACAGGAGATTACCTCGATACTGAACTGGTAATTATTGTTTAACAAAATATTATTGTATTTTACTCATGCAGTATCTTATTCTTTTAATAGCTGATTCCGGACTTAGCGACTGAGACAAACGACTAAAAGCGTCGAAGTTATTTATCTTAGGTGAATAACGTTTTCGATTATAGTCATTGAGTTATATGTACTACGTACTAGGGAAGCCTTTCTAAACAAAAAATGTGTACTGCACTATGTCTTCGCGCATGCGCGGGAAATAGTGGAGTTTTGGCGGGAACTTGCGGCGGTTTGCTGCTCCTGTTTTATTGTTTAAATAATAGTTTGAAGTGGACTTTGATATGTAAAAGTGGTGCGATTTTGTGTATTAAGTGTCTGCGCTTGTGAACTATTAGTGGAAACTGTGAAACAAGTGCTCTGATAGTGATGTGATTGTCAAAATAAGGTGCCTGTCTGCTTAGGCGCCTTGAGATACCATCGCCAACCGTCAGTTGTCTGCTGGCTCAAGTTACCGTCAAAATCTCCCAAGGGCTGCACAATGTGACGCATCAACATATTGTGAAGCAGTATACTATGAAGAATAATTATTATAATATAATATTGTAACTTCCGGCTCAGAAAGGCTAGATCCCAGAGCCGTAAAGCCAGTTATTAAGAAAAGAAGAAGAAGGCGGGAAATAGTAAAGTCGCGCATGCCCAGTTGATTTAAGCGCGTAACGCGTTGCGCCTGCGCGGTCAGTTTATATAAAGAAATATTTTTTTTCATGATTTTTTTTTGTAATATTACGATATTATTACCTATTTATTCACTTGAACAACAAATCATTTTACTTACTTGATTACTGAATTGTTATTTACATCCAGGTTTAAACTTTAATTTGAAATCTTGTATTATTAGCGCCGCTCAACACTGCACGAATATTGAAACCACAGACTAACTAGTAGATTGAAACCACACTAAATGACATACTGTACGGATTGCAGTACAGTTCAGTTGAACATAGTGTATGTTCGGAATGCGCAATCTAGTACGTAGTACATATATTATATCGATGATTATAGTAGTTAATGTGTTAATGTAGAACATTCATTGCAAGTAAACCACTCCGATTATATTATGGTTACATGACTCAGGGTGTTACCACACCGATCGATCAACGTCAATCGATGTCGATCGATTGGTGAGGTAGATTTAGCTGATAGGTGATATTTAGATGGCGGGTGACGGCAGGGAGGTGTCCGATGAGCGGGGCGGGTTCCTCCAATAAAATAAGCAAGCAGCTCGATCGGCGTCGATTTGAAGTACGTGCATTGGGTTCTAGTGTACCGTTCTTGCACGATCCGGACATCCAATCCCAGCTGAGTAATAATATTCGGGACCTCTTCAGTGACCTATTTTAGAACGTCCTATATAGAGCCACAGTTTCGACCTTACAGTTCTGAAAGGCCTTTGATATCAGGCGATGCCGCCCGCGTATGTATTGACGCGGACAGCGTTTTTATTTCCATTTTCGTGACAATTTCTAGCATACAGCTAGAAATTGTCACGAAAATGGAAATAAAATAATTTTGATATTGTAATAGTCATTTATCAACATTATGTAATATATTTAAAAGTTAAAAACAGTTATTGAACAAAATCATTTTTTATTACTACAATAAAAACATTTACAAGTGTTGCACTGCCAAATATTTTCGTGACACTTTCCTTTTATAGATGTTTTCGGTTTTTGAGTGTTACATTTAATTATGTAGTGTATTTCGTATTCGGATAAACAATTTTATAAAAAAAAATATATGAGAGAAACATAAGAGTGGCCGTCATTAGATTTCAATTTTACTTAGTAACTCATATAACTATAACAGTAATTCACCATTACAGATATTTTATTTTTCTAAAAACTGCACTTAAAATTAGTTACATAAGTACTATAAAACACGCTCGCGCCAACCGCACGTATTGTCTATCAGACTCAGTGAAGTGCGCTAGCACAAGGTCGGTCTGCCCCCTGCCCCGCAGTGCCCCCACCGTTGCTCTGCACAAGCATTCGTTCCCCAAGTGTAAAGTTTTAAACTGTGATAGAGGTTATTATTTATTTTTATTAGGATTAATATTCATAGTTGGTGGCTATATGAACCTCCGTTGCTCGACATGCAGTGCTCGTCGGTTAAGGAAAACAGCGTAAGGAAATTTGCATATCGGAAAAAAAACTTAGAACATGTGAAGTTCGTTCGTGCATTAAGGCAGCGCAGCGGTGCATTTGCCTGTTTCAAAAACCTCTCGGAAATGAGGTGAGGACTGTGCATAGCAGTGTGACGTTTTTCAAGTTTTTAAGTAAGCTTTATTTATTTACTCAGGTGGACGTGAGCCGCAGTGCGCCGGATATTAAAGCGGCGACACTTAGCGGCGAGCCCACAGATCCAGAGCGGGCGCAGTCACCAGACGCGGACGGGCTCAAGCGACGTGCAGAGTCGGAACCCAACCTCGCCACACCGGACGACGAAGCTTCATAGCTAAATTATATTAAGTAGTAACATTGCCCCGAATTTAAGACACTTTGCTCCAACTTTACCTGATGAACAAAACAGTTATTTATTATTAATATGTAAAAAAAAGAAATGGCAGTTATAAGAGTGACAAAATATCCAATTCTGGAAATTTGACATTCCAAATACTCCTCGAAGGATCTGACTCTTCTTGGAGATTAATATAGTAAACCCAAACCCGATACAATTATTTGTAAGTCCTTTATGGAAGGGTAGTTTCTTTTAGTTTGGAAAACGCTGAGGAGAGTTAATTCCATAATGTGGTCGTACAAATCTTTCAAGGACATGCGAACTGGTCTAACACGCATTTGGAGAGCGTGGCGGAATGTTCCCTAATCCAAAAACTTTCTCAGAAATGAAAGGAGGTATGCACAGTAGTTGGATATACAGGGTTATTTTGCAATAACTGGCCAAATTTGCAGAGAAGCTTCAGTATAATATAGGCAAATGGTGAAAAATAATTCATTAAACAAATCTCAAATATTCTGTCCTTTTTATCTTTTAAATTAAAAATGCGTGATAATGCATTATTTTAATTGATTTTACTGCGCACGCACACATTCGTAAGCGGCGATCGGTAGACAAAAAAGTAGAAGCCTTATTGACTCGTATTTTCAAAAACTGCAATAACGTTATATCATTATTTATATATTTGAACTTTAAAAGAAGAAGTTTAAAATTTGGCTACTCTTTGAAAAATACGTAGGCTATCATATCATATATTACTACATTAAAGATCAGTTGGAATTATTAACTTCCTTCTGCCTAGCATTGAAAGGAAGTTAATGGTTTTAGCTGGCAGTTTGTTAGTCTGTATGCCGACACGATAACTTTTGAAAATTTGGGTCCTGTAGGTCAAAGGGCACCAGAGATATGGGATTCACGCAGAAGGAAGTTGTTTTTCTTGAATTTACATTCAACTCGTTCGGTTTAATATTGCTATGTATTTTCTGTCCTATTCAGTCTAGTCCAATTCCATTACATTTAAGATATATTCCTTTCATTATTTATTTTTGTGACATGAAAGCGAACTATGTATTAAATATTAGATGACATTTGGTACTGGATAAATGTATGTGTAATCTGTACATTAATAATAATTTTATTTCTGTTACATATTGAAAATAATATAATCAAGTTTTTGTAGATATTCCTGATTTTCATTTTGAACATAAAACGCTTTAAAAATATCTCACGCCAAATCTCTCAAACTCAAGCTAAAGGTAGCTATCAACGTGTGATGAAGTGAGTCTCCCGCGGGGATCGATACTTAGACCTTTTTTGTTCTTGGTCTACATATAAATGATCTTCCATGTATGTTACAAGAATATCTGGAAAAGTATGATGATACCTCATTGTAATTTAAAGGTAAAGAAACGATTTTGCACTGGAACGGTCCAACCAAATACTGGATTTTAAGAAAATATTAGTACTGCTATTAACATTACTAATATTCCTTTTAAAAGTTTAAAATGCTAGTATTAGGAGTGGTTCACGACGGTAGTCGAATGGCGGATTCAAATCCACGACCTTTTGAGTTCGCGGTCCGCGCCCTGCCATTAAGCTAATGTTGCTTCAAAAAAAATGCTTTGCAGCGAATAATTTGCTTCTAAACGCAGAAAAAATAAATGTTTACATTTTACGCTCTCTAAATCGTTGCAGAATGCTAATCATAATTTATTAAATATTAATGTACGATTGTGAACGAGACCACACATAATAAGCCTACGAGTAGGTTCGAAATTTAGATCTGCTATTTTAGTTATTTAGAAGAATAGAAAAATGAATTAACAGGTAAATGAATCTGCTTAATTTCACAGTATTATATTGTGTATATTACCTATGACATTGCTGTTGTATTAATCAAATTAAGCACCATGCAATCGATGCATCTTTGCCAACGCAGTGGCAGTTTATTGATGCTCTTCTTGAAAAAATCAGCTGGATGGGAGCCAACAAATTCTTCAAAGGCATTTTGTACTGCCTCTCGGGTATTTAATTTTCTTCCCGCCAAAAACTTTCTGAATTCTGAAAAAAGTAGAAGTCGGAGAGCTTCCAACCCCAGCTCTTGTAATTTGGAGACCGTGTGTTGTGCGGTATGAGGTCGCGCGTTGTAGTGCAGGAGAAGCGGGGACGAACGAAAACTGGTTAGGGGCAAAGCTATGATGAGCCACACCGGCTCTAGACCATCAAACAGTGACCATCACTTTTAGAGATGTAAGATTTCGCTTCGGGCATTGCATTGGTACTGAACCCTGGTTCAACCTGGTTTTAGGTGCTGAATCCAACCAACTTGCTGAGTGCTTGCGATTGTCAAACAGAATCCATTTTTCGTCGCAGGTAACAATGCGGTTAAAAATTTCTTCGTTTGTGTGCCTGTTAAGCAGTGCAAGGCACGTTTCTACGCACGTACCTGACGCTGCCGATCATTGAGATCGTGCCATTTGTCAAGCTTTTTTATCTTACCATTTTGACGCGAATGGACCAATACCAGCGTAAAATAGCAGCTTAATGCTGCTGTGTTTCGTATGGTGAGTGTAGAGAACCGGAGACCTATTTTACGGGAAAAGAGGCATTCTATCTTAGTCCTCACGGCTGACAACGCATCTGCATTTTAATTCGCAAACGAAGATAGATGTAGATGTCTATGGGCCATAGCAACCACTTACCATCAGGTGGACTGTGTGCTCGTTTGTCACCCTTATTTTATTTAAAAAAAAAATTGTTTTGATGCTAACGTCGAAAGCTGCTGCTCTGGTTCTACTGCGGATGGCCTAATTTCTAAGTTTATCACGCAGAGAAACTCCGAGCATAACCATGTCTATAGCTCGCTGAGCGACCTTGAGCTTCCTCATCCGGCCAGCAGTGAAGGACTACGTCTCAATTCCATAGGTCATCACTGGCAACATGCACTGGTTGTACAGTCTAGTTTTTAAGTTTTGAGGTATACCTGACGAGAAGATGTGCCCTAATTTCCATAATCGGTCGATTGACCTCTCGGGCGAAGTTGGACTTACCTAGTCGGACTATTTGTCCCAGGTAAACATACTCGTTAACAACTTCTAGCTTAGTGCTCCCAACAACTATCGGCATAGGGTGTATTATATGATCTAATTAAAGGAAGCATAATAAAACAGTGACGCGTTCACAAAATAGTCCTACGTTTTGCGATAAGTATGAGTGGAGCGCCAATATTTGAAAACAATTGGCAAGTACATTTGCTAATTCTAATTGCGCATGCAAAATATATTCAATGTTTTGAAAATGTGTGCTCAAACTTTGCTCACTGGTCTATCGCAGGTGTATTATATATATATTAAAAGTATTCAGGTAGAGCTATTTTTCTGATTAATGTTGGTATTGTTTGAAAGGTCAGGATGGAGAGCTGACTTTTCTTCCCAAAATCGCTCTGTGCCATTCTAACCGTGTTCAAACCCCTTTACGCCACTGCTTTTAACGCATGCATGTAATAACGTAATTATAATAAGAATAATAGTAAATAATATAACTAAATGTACTGTGTAGATATTTATAAGCCAATAAATTATTAATTAATAATTAATACATTATTTAAAAAAATAATATATCAAGTAATTAATTTATTGTGAACAAAACTGAGGTTCAATAATTATATATTCATTAATTTCCTTACTACAGATTCTGTGTTAAACGATCCAACAGATTCTGTGTTAAAATGATCCAAAAAGTAAGTCATCAAATTTTGCTGATAACATTTGTTAATGTTAATTTGATGACTTACTTTTTGGATAATTATAATTTATTGACAGTACATTGTAGCCTGTTACAATGAGTATATAAATTTAATATAAGTGTGTTGATTCATAATTTTTAAAATTAATAAATTGTTACTTATGTTATATGCGCATTCATTACCCTTAAATTTTGACATATATTCCATATGGAATTTAATGCAATGGTGTTTCTGATCCGTGGTTAAAGTTTAAGACTGATTGTAAATTGGTGCTTTGAGTAAACAAGTTTTTGAATAAAATGTTGTATGATTAATGATATTTAAATTTCGAGTTTGAGTTGCCACGAAAATAATTCTTTTCTAATGCATTACCCTATAAAATAAAAACTAATTTCATACGAACATTTTCGAGTATACTTACTCATACATTGAAGAATGATGACCTACTGGTCATCATTCTTCAATGTATGAGTAAGTATACTCTACCTGATCGTGGATGCTCAGCCTGCCCCGCTCATGTTAGTAAGTCAAAAACTGTCTTAAGGTAGCTCGTAAACAGCTACGACTATCTTCGCGTCTACAGGTTTAAATTATCTTCGCTCATTTCGACTCTACACAGACTCCAGATATGGTGAAACATGCACCTTCCCTGTTGGCCCTTTTGCTGACCTCTCATCTGGATGGCTATTGGGTGTCCTTCGATCCGATTCGGCTAAAAGTGGCTTCGACGGCTACGTACAGAACAACCTGATTACGATGTCACTCGCACTTTCGTTGCGGTTGTGTTGCCGGCTGCCGCTGTGTTTAAAACTAGGCTGTTGGATTGCGATCGGTATTTCAGGGTTTCTTAACCGACCAGTATCAGCACAATCGGTAACGAAGCGTATTTGCATGAACATGGGACTATATAACATACATTGTCCCACGTTATCGCCATATTCGTAAACAAGTGAAACATGCGTACACACTCGTGCAAACATTTGCTGCAAGCAGACAGAGATTAGCAGATGTTGCGAAAATGAATTATTTCGCTTGATCGTTATTGCGCCTCATATTGCTCCCCGAAAGCACGGCAACTGTTTCGGAAACACGTTGTGCTTATACTGTAACTATACTATTTTTTCAATTTTTTTTTATATGATAAGGGTGACAAACGAGCACACAGTCCACCTGATGGTAAGTGGATGCTGTGGCCCATAGACATCTACATCTATCTTCGATTAAGAATCAAAATGATCTGCATTTTGATTCTTAA